AATCGCAAATCCCAAAAAAAAAAGAAGAAATTTCTTATCCAGTGTTGTAACATACATAAACCAACATATTATAGTATTTGAAAAACGTTTCCTAAAGCATCTACAAAACGGGATTTATAACGGATCATCAGTTTGGATTTTGAAAAGAATATAGTACGATAGAAGAAGTTAATCAATTACTTGATGTCAACGGCCAGAATCTGAAAGAGATATTGCTCAGCTTTATTCTTTGATTTGTCACAGACTTTCTACAAAGAATAGAGGTTTACTTTAGACTCTACAAATGAATATTCCACATAATTTCTATGAAGTCTTGAAATCCTACCTAAATGATGGATTTTTTTATTGAAGGATCCTGAATCCTTTTGAATTCTACATGGTAGTGTCCTGGGTTCAATTTTATATCTTCTATATACAGCAGATATACCAATAGACAGAATAAACATGGAAACATTTGCAGATGACACAGCAATCACGGCATCAGATGAAAGTCCCATGAAAGCATCTCGACACCTCCAAGATGAGCTTAATCTGTTGTGGATCAGAAAATGGCGAATTGGTATAAACCAGTCAAAATCGCTGTATATTACCTTCTCCTTAAAACGATACACAGTCAAACTCAATAACGAAGTAATTCCAACTCCAAGGGTAAGATACTTGGGAATGCTAATATGATTTTCATAAGAAATTATGGTTATCTATTGTCAAAATGTATCAGCAATTTTAGTAATCATAATGTCCGAGAAAACTGGCTAACCCAGTGGTTTTCAAACTGTGCGCCGCGAATTCTCGGCTGTGCTATAGGAGAGCAAAAATTGAAGAAAAACAGTTATTAACATAAAGTTCGCTCTGCAATAGACCAATGTTTTAACTTGGGGCGCCGCGGAAATATTCTGATATATTAAGGGCACCGAAAGCCAAAAAAGTTTGGGAACCGATGGGTAACCACTAATTACTATGCAATAAAGAGAAATTTATTGTAAACTTATAATGTTCATGTATGTATACAGAATATAACATAAAAAGAAAATGCACTTTTAAGATCTATAATTGTAATTGCATTTATAATGCTGTTCTCGCGTAATCATGAAAGGTGATAGAAAATTGATGAGCGGACGTAAAATGATCGTTTATAATAATGTGTAAGTTTTAATTTAAACTTGGAACTCCCAACAGTTGACATATTTAAAATGTTAACTTTTTTATATACAATCGCTCCTAACAGATCAAAAAACACAGTACAAAAGAATATAAAAGCAGATAAAAAAAACAATTAATTTAAATTTATTATTTTAAATTTTAAGAACCTAGAGTAGTGGTTCCTAACCTGTTTGTGCCATGTCCCCAAATCCTTTCTAAAATTCTTATGTCCCCTATGTAACATATGTCTGTCAACAGTGTTTACATATATGTGTCAGTCCGGAGACTTATTGAATGATGTGTTACATACGGTTAAAGTCTAGATATGTTTAACCCCTTAGCAATCAAATTGCCCGCCTCTAAAGCCGTGTGCCCCAAGTTGAGAAACACTGAGCTAGAGTGTACATTGTATCTCCTGCAAATTTTGATCTATTAGATATTTCTGATTTCAATCAATATAGTTTTTATTTGCTTTTGTCTGGACTATTTTCATACTTACATAATTATTAAATAATTAAATTAGAAATATAAATACTAAAAAATAAACTACATGTAAATGTATCTTTTAACAGTCGGATTGTGTAAACACTATATTTGTAAATGTAACTAATGTACATGTCAAAGTACCAGAGACACAAGAGCTGTAGATATGTGTTTCGGCGCGCGACTTTACGCCCAAAACTTCGAACAGCCGCAAAAGAGAATGTCTTAATTGCGCGGAGCCACATATGTAATGTCAAACATTTTAATTAGTGCCTCGACACCGACGCTATCTTCTCTTTCACAGACTGTTGTATTTGAACAAAACCACCCTCGCTCCTACCACATACACTCACATACATATATACACGAAACGCGCACGCATATACACTTAACACTAAATGCACTCTGGGAAAATTAAAAAGATATATAAATGTACATACTTCCATACGAAAATTGTGGACGCAGGCAGCTCCAAAGGCCTAATTAGTGGACGGAAAAATCTAGTTATACACGAAACGAGATGGACCGTACTTTTTCGAATTATGATCTGATCCGTATACTTTTAGAGCTTAATATGTTGCTCCGTTTTAAAAGTATATGTAAAAAAAAGAACGTATGTTCATAAAACCTTTAACATAAAAGTACAACCGACCGGAGTTTTATTAACTTTCCATTTGCGAACCAAGAAAAAATTAATGTTGTTTTCGTTCAAGTAGACCGTCAATAATAATATTTATATGCAAAATTATGAATTAAAATACTGTCTATATACTGGGTTAAAACCATATTAAACCTTTCAACTTTATTTATCTTGCGACATACTTGATTCTTAAATTAAACTTCCGCGGCACACTTAAATTTAATAACTACAAATTAAAAAAAAAATTGAATATATGTATGTTAATTAATGAAATATATGAAATAAACATAAAATAACTATTAAATTAATTTTGTAGACTATACCAGAAAGTAATTAACAACTATTAAACTTATTACGCGTACATTTTATTGCAGTTTATAACAGTATTTATGAATGTGAAAAATGAAATTATTTTGCATGAAATAATTTATATTTAATAGATCGATCGTACAAAGCATTATGCTCTTTTGATTTACTCTTTGTTTGAAGTGAACTGAAATGAAGTTATCTTTAATTAAATAAATGGAGAAATATAATATAATACTTTAACACTGCATATAATAACTTAGTTGTTCATTAGATTGGTTTATATTTTGTATGAAGAATAATTGAATTTTTGTTATAACAATAGGTTGTTAGTAAATCATTAAGTATTATAATATACTATTAGATAATTATGAATGTTGCCAATATAATGTCGTGTCCCGGGGATGGAATTCTGGACACAGTGGAATATTGTCTGTTGTTGTCGTTGTGGGGTCTCAATAGTTGGGAATTTGATGAAATTCGTTTGGTTTTACATAACTTTATTCTTGGTCTTCTGCTGAGACTATGCTCTTCATATTTACGTTTTACTAAGACTAATTCTAAATACTTATTATACTTACAAAGTTTATTCTTATTAATAAGTTGTGGGAGTTGTGATCGGGTGTAGGGTTTTTATATATTGATGATTATGCATTATTATAAAAGCGGGACAAATTCCTATGCATTTATATATATGAAAAAGATGATCGATTACGATTGTACGTGTAACGATCATTATGTGTTTATAATAAGGACTTGAATTCGGATTAAAAGTATAGGAGCATCGATAGGAATGTTAACGCTTGGTCCTCTTTGTTTATATTAAAGTGTATCGAACGGAATTACGATAAAGATTCCTTTATGCTAATGTTTATATAATAATGCGACTAAGAGACGCCTTGGATGTCTCTTGGATACTAATTATAACAATTACAATAATAATAATTTTAATATTATTAAAATTCACAAATTAAAAAAAAAATACATTATAGATTAAGTAACTTCTAATTCAAAATTATCTTACACTAGTTGTATTTTCACAATTATATTTTATATTTAACCTGCACCAAAAAGTTTGAGCACTGCTGGAATAAATAAATAAAAATAAAAAGCTTTTTCGTAACAGTTCTCACTATACTTTATAGACTTGAAAATCTTTTTCTATTTACTTCGAACCCAAAGTTTCCCACGCTCTTCTTTCATCATTTGTCCACTTCAACAAACTACACTAATCCACAAGATTCAATGTATTCTTCTTGTACTATTTCACAAAGTTTTTATCTTCCGATTGTTTACTCAACTGCACTCTAAAGAAAGTTTCAATATTACACTATAATCATTCTTAATATAACAAATAATTACATAGAGATTTCTATAGTTAAATAATCGGTAAAATAATTTGAATAAAGTTAGTTTAATTAAATTATTATATAAAAAATCGTCAACAAGTACAGTGGAACCTGGTATTTGTTAATTTTTATTCAATTATAAAATCATAATGTTTTGTTCATATAATAACGATCCCATTCAAATGTTTTGAGTCTTTGAAGGCTGGTAACATAAATAAATTTAATGGTAGAGAAAATATAACTGACACGATGCGTAAAAATGTTGAAAAACACTGTTTTATAATACCAATTTTGAATCTAGTAATTTTAATTGAATAGAAGTGGATATTTAATCTTAATTTAACGAGTGATATCTGATATGTATACGGACAACATCATTATTGAAATACAGCCTCGATAGCGCAGTAGGCAGCGCGTAAGTCTCATAATCTTAAGGTCGTGAGTTCGATCCTCACTCGGGGCATTTACTTTTTAACAAGTTTATAATTTCTTAATCAAATTATTTAACTTTAGATGCACCAATTTTCAGTTATGAATTCGTTTGATACATTATTAGTGTTAGATGCTTTTCAGTTTAGTTTCAAACTTTCAGTACGTTAAATTAATTCAATTTCGTGTATACGTATACATTTATAAATGAATCCAGAAAGCTGTATTATACTGTTATTACTATTTGTTTGTTGTTGCGTTGATCTTGAGGTAAAAGTATTTGTGCGATCCTGCCAGGATTCGAACCTGGAATCTTCTGATCCGTAGTCAGACGCGTTATCCGTTGCGCCACAGGACCTCTTGTAAATTACTATTTTGTTAAATTTCAATTTTACGAGATGTAGATTATATTTATTTTTAGCAAATTATTTTTATGTTGTTGGCAGTGATCCAAATTCTGTGATAAACCTACATAGAGCACAACAAATGATCAAAGTGTGTAGTATTAATAAATACACTGAATACAGAACAATGTGAACAATTGTATGTAAAGAATACCTGGCATAGTGCGACTTCGATTAGTGCGGATTTATTGTAGTACGAGTATAAAATTTCAATACATAATTAATTTTTATACATAACTTATACAGTCAAGTATTTTTTGTGCGATTTTAAAATCCTCGGCTAATTTAGTTTCAAACAGTGCGAAACTGATTACACTCACTGTTCATAATGATTAGACTCAGAGAAATTAAACATATACTAACGGCACAGGAGGTTTCCAACTGAAGTAGAAGAAACATATACTATCCTCACAACAAGTTACAATTGACATTTGGTACACATTATCACAATTTCTCACACACATATAAAATTACGGAACAAATATTGTCACTGTAGAATACTTCTGGTCTTGTCGTAATACTGATGAAAAGGTATATTATATGCAAATGTCCAGCCATAAATTAAGCAAGTAATATTCGAATCATCCAACCATCATAATGTAACAACTAAGACTAATCTCTAAGGTCTATTTCTATTCCAGTAAGGGTGAGAGCAGACTAGGTTACAATTTTGGGGCATTGAAAATGGTTCTTTGTGGGAGGAGTCTTGAAGAGTGTATAGACACATTTATGATCTTAACATAAATCGTGCACAGTAAGAGGTTTTAACGTTAGTTTATTGAGAATTGAAAGAGTCACAGAAAAAATCATGTATTATTCGTTCTTTTTGTATAATTATTTATAATCTATATATTTAATTTTGTCTGTAATTATTTATATATAATTGTAGTAATCAATATAGCTTTTGTTATTAAAATTAAGAAGTCTTGAAGAGAGACACATTTATGATTTTAACATAAATTGTGCACTATAAGAGGTTTTAACGCTAGTTTATTAAGAATTGAAAAAGTCACAGAAAAATTATGTATTAACTTTTTTTTTGTATAATTATTTATAATCTATATACTCAATTCTCTCTGTAATTCGTTATATAATTTCTGTAATAAATATTGTTTTTGTTATTGAAATTAATAATGTGTTGCAATAGTTTTACATAAATAAAACTAAGATTAAAACTTATTTTTTATACCAACAACAAATAAAAAAAAATAACAAATAATATCAAAAAGAATACTAGAATGTATATTCTCATATATAATTAAATACATTGAAATGGTCGTGAGTTAAATTGTTTGCATAAATAAGAAAATTACAATATGTTGCTGTGTCCAACCACTAAGGTTGCATTCCATCGAGAGCAATGACCGATAAGAACATTTGTATAGTTGATTTTATACATAGAATAAATAATTGTAATTTTTCATAGAAGTATCGTTAAAAGAACAACTACATAGTCTTAGACTTATCGTTAAGGAAATAGCAGCTAATAACCATAGTAGATACAATAAAGTAAAGTCTTTAACAAATATTTAAGACACAAGTAAAAACTCGTTAGATTAATTATTTATAAACTCTAAAAGTCCATAACAGAGAACCGAAGAAAATATTCCAGTAACCCGATTTTCCAACCCTGAGACACGACAATATAGTCATACCTGGAATAAAGTTACCTGTAATAACGAAGGTTCGATATAACTTAATCCACAATTTGAAGCCGGATTTTATATAAAAACAAATCCAATTTAAGGCCATCGACTGACAATCATCCGATTGGTGATTGATTGACGGAGACTCTTTACAGATGACTCAATCTATAAGCTTCAAAAATGTGGATGAAGAGGATGTTTTAAGTGAAAAATAGAAAACTTTCTTACCAACAAAGAAAAATAAAATGATAGTGAAATTAAATACGTTCCTGTCGAAATAATATTAACAAACAAAGATTGAAAAAGGTGATTAAATGACATTGATAATGTTTTTTTTTGTTATTATTAAGCGATCTGTGCTGAATGCAATAAATATGTATAGGAACTTGTTTCATGGAAGATAAACAAAACACAAATAATTTTAATTCATGCAACAATAGATTACTAAAAAGTAAATGAATTAAACACAGATTTAAATCGATAATCTTTGATTTTTATCAAATTTGATTAATGTTCAAAATATATAAAATTGTCAATAATAAAGTACTATTTTATTTGCACTATGTGGTGCTCATCTACTTTGATAAAATAACAGCTTCTCAATGTATCAGTTGACTTTTTTCAAATTATATATATTTATTTTGTTCTTTTTATTTCAGTATATGTTTTTTTGTATGATTGATGCAATAAACATTATATATACATTATTAATTTCAAATAAATTAAAATATATTAAGATTTAAATCGCAGATAATTTAAACATAACTGTTAAAATAAAGAAGAAGAAAAAGGCAATTAATAGCAACAATCGAGATTTTTTATTTTGATATAAACTCAAATGATCGCCTTTTCATTACAATATATCAATAATTCTAAATAACATCTGATTAAAGGGCTAACGACTTTACTCTTTTTACTCGGAACGATGTAAAGAATTGATATATTTTAATGCTTTTATATAAATTCGTTCCTAATTAAATTCAATAGAAATGTTTGTATAGAAAAATATATATATGTATTCAAATATACATGAAATTATTTCGATCATTTGGATTCAAAGAAAATACAAGCCTGCCATTCGGTCGAATCAAAATAGTAAATATATTCCTGGAAAACGAGACTACTGGCTGCATAATTAAACTTTCTGTATATATTTTGCTGCTATATTATATTATATGGTTCGAGTATTATCAGATAAAATATGTGCATTTCAAAGGCAATAATAATTAATTTTACAATTAAGTCGCACATTTTGAAATTCATATATAAAATTAATTTGTAAGATATTAAAGATTTTTAAAATTACATTAAGAAAAAATAATCAATCAAATGTGATTACGGATACTTAATAATAATTCGTTCTTTCAACAACAACATTATTGATTAATAATATCTCATTTTTAACGCTAGTTTATTAATCATGGGAATTTTTGCAAAGTGAGAAATATTATGTAAACTTCCACAGAAAGATCAATAATTGTTAATATCTTCAAATTTTATTCAAGTATTTATTTTAGTTTACCGTTGACATACGATATAAAAATTATGATATTAAATAGAGACAAAATTATTGATTAACAATTTCATGCTAATTGCTGTTATTATATTCTAACTATTAATTTATTTACGCGTGTCATATGTTACAATTGATTTGTCTTCTCCGCGATAAGTGCGTTTCGATTTTCATAGTCTTATTTTGAAATAGGAAATTTTCTAATACGGATGAACTATATGGCTTAATAAAAATCTTATTATAGCCCTTATAATGTCGAATAATAAACAGAAACTGGTTATAAAAAGAAGTTTGCATAAATATATTATTATCATTTATAAATGTAAAACTATTGCGAAAAGCGTAGAACTAACAACAGAGAAAAAAACAATTAAATGACAATAGATATGAAGTCAATTATTATAAGTAATGTTCAATACCATAAAACTAGTTCTAAAATATTAATTATATACAGAATTATCCCACATAGTAGGACTTCGACCAGTCCGGATTTACTATTGTCTAGTTTCAAAATTTCAAAACCTACTAAATACAAATCCTAATTTAAAAAAAAAAACTACATAAAATTATAAGTTTCTTTATACAGTCTAGTTTCTATGTGCGGTATATTTTATTTGTAATTAGTACCTCGATTAGTCCGGTTTCACAGCACTAATTTGAAGTAATATAAAAATTACAATACAAGTAGCCCGAAGGGCCGGAATCCACCATAAACAATACATTTCACTATCATTATTGTTGTGTGTGCTGCATGTGCTTGTCCGCACTCAGGTATATTTAGTCTAGTTTAAAGGGACATCTGTTTATGACAGTTATATTGCTTCTCTAAATATAATGGCATTTGAATAAGTCCCATAAAGTATTAGGTAAAGATCCTAAAAGTATTTAATTAATAGATAGTAGATAATTTGACAGATTTTGTAACATTGAAATATTATTTAATATTGATAAGTGAAGACAATTTCATATAATAATTAACTGCTATGTATTGTATGTAAATTCTACATTTAGATAATAATCAGGTCGACCTTTTAATAGGTTGTTTTTGGCTCATAGTCCCATTTGGTTTCTATTGTCACAAGCCGTATATTTATACTACCAAAATACATCTTTGATTCCTTTCTAAAAGGTAATATAATTTAAGTTTGGTGGATTTATTTTTACTCAATGAATCTATATGTTATTTTATATTTACTTCTCGTTTTCTTGTAATGTAATGAAAATGTATATTTTAAGTAATATAATATTTGCTAAATTACTAATTCAGTACATCCTTTTTTCAATTTTCCAAATAGAAATTACTTTCAGCGATCATATGAATGATGTAAATAAGTGTAAGTTAATTCAAAGTATGAGTTTTAATTTACTCCAAAGAGAAATGTATATTGTTTATCCATTTGAAATAGTTAAAAAGAAAAATATCTGACATATAATTCTATTGCCAATGGCATTAGCTCCAATCGAAATAGTAAATATATGTTGAAGGGAAGTTATGCAATTAAGTTTGGAGTGTAGTGCATGTTTTCCTGCATCTCTCGAGTCAGCCATCCTGTATAACTGGGTGAAAGGAAGGGTTCGTTATCTTTAATGGCCATACAAGTCAATAAGTCCCTTAATTTGCAGCTGTACATTGCGAAGATGATGAACGTACGGTTCAACCCAGTTCAATCAAAGATTGCTCTTAGTTATATACATTTCGAACGAATATTATTATTGTTATTTGTATTAGCGATTACTTGCAAATTCTAAATTCATTCGACGATACTTAATAGGATTATGCAGGTGAACCGTGCAAACGCGTTAATTAATCCAAATATCGAGGAAGGCGCTTGGCAGAAATGGAATTGGTATTTTTGGACATGGAGATTGTTCTAAATTGAAGCAATTACTTAATCCACGTTCGTCTGCGTGTAATAAGGTCCCATTTTCACTCATCCTCCTCCATTGGCGTATGCACGGCACATTGTGTGGGCTCAATCGTTGGGACGGTCATAAATCGGCCAATGTTATTACCAAATCAAAGACAAGACCACTTTGTACGTTACACCTTACTATTCATTTATTCTCAGTTACGATCAAGGTCACAGCTGTTGTTCCATATATTTATACACACATCACCATGTGCGAAACATACATGAAACCCAACTATAACAATTACTTAGGCTACACTTTATTCAAATATACTTGCATGTATTAGCATTACATTCAATCAAATATAATTTACTTGAATTTTATAAATACCTGAATGCTTGCACCAACCGAAAATATCCATATTCATAATACCGTGTAATTTCGAAATGTTATTTTCTTTATTTTTCGCGTGAGGCTTAAAATTAAAACGCTAATTTCATTTCATTTTCTGGCCGCATCGGATCTCTCTCCCCGTCCCCGTTTAATTAGCCAGCGCCGCTCTGGTCCCATCAGCCATGCAAAACTCGGCTTCGTTAAAGCGGAAAAAAGGGACAAAAAAAATTAGCGCAGTTTTTATTCTCTTATTCCTGTAATTGTAAACAATAACATGAAAAAGTATACAAAGTTCGTACTGGGGAGGTCCAATTTTTAACTCAATTACCAAGCTTTTACTGTAAAACTGAATTTCTTATTTCCTCGGTGTTGCCTTTTTAGTTGTTTCTTGACTGATGTATAAATCCATGAGAACTTTTACAGTTAATAAGATATCATTTATGATAAAAGAATAATTATCCAAGCTTTTACTGTAAAACTGAATTTCTTATTTCCTCGGTGTTGCCTTTTTAGTTGTTTCTTGACTGATGTATAAATCCATGAGAACTTTTACAGTTAATAAGATATCATTTATGATAAAAGAATAATTATCTAAAATAAAAACAGTAATTCTTGTAAATAAAATAATCATTAATGCGAACAACTTGTTTGGAATATCATCATATAGAGAAAATAATATAGGGTGTACCAATAATAGTGGTAAATCTAATTTTTAAATAAAACACGTTTTTGAGAAAATTTTATTTAATCGTAAAGTAGACATGTAGGAATTATGTATGAAACAACACATCCAATAAATGCCACCCACGGCTGTGATAGAGAGACGGATTTCAGCGATACAGCGTATAATCTCCATCTTCAAGGCTTGGGTCATCGTGGATTTGTTGACATAAACTTTTGACTTCAAAAAATTCGAGACAAAGATGTCCAAAGGCGTTAAATCGCACGATCTAGACAGCCAATTCTGGTCGCCCAAACGAGAGATACACCACCATTTGAGCCACAAACTGGGTTATCGTTCGCCATTGACTGTTATTGCATTACCGGCAGTGTTTACGAAGAGGAATGGTCCAACGATGCCTCTCATGAAACACATGTGGGTTTTTCCAAATACAGCAATTTTACTTGTTAGATTAGACGCTGTATCACTGAAAACCAACCCAAGTTATGCCAAATCGTGATTGTGAATGTCGTCAAAATAACGCAATTGTGCCAGCCAGCAACGCCGAGAAGAACATTTATCAGATGTGTTGTTTCATACATAATTTCCACATGACTACATTACGATTAAAGCAAAATTTCGGTATTTTCTTACAAATAAATTGTTATTTAAAATTTTGATTTTCCAGTCTTGTTGGGACACCCCTTATAATCAAACCTCGGTTAACGTTATTTCTGATAATCAATAGATTTCGTTTAAAAGAACGTTATAAAATTAAGAAAACTTCATTAAGAAAATGATGATGACTTATTTGTAAATCGAGGTATGACTACTTAGAAATGTTAACATTAAAATAACGGTAGTATGATAAACACATTTTTTTAAATTCACCGTAAATAATGTTTCCAGTATAACAAAATCAAATGAATATCTTGATATTTTCCAGATACGATATTATCAAATACCGATTATTTAAGACCACAAAATATACATAAAGAAATCTTATGTATTTTATATAATATATATAAATATTTTTCTACAAACAATATCATAAATTTGCAAATAAACTTCTACGATGCAACTTGAGTTCACTTACTGGTGATAATTAGAATGCTAAACAGAAGCAATTGGGTTTCAAGCTAATTAATACAACAAAAGCAAACATATTGTTGAATATATGTTTACCTTTACTTGTATTTATTTTTTAATTATTTGTGTGATCGAAACGATACAAAATTACGCTAATTAACTAAAAAAAAATTCAAATTCATTTAAATGAACAAATTAAAAATGTTTTAGATGACATTAAATTAATGATTGGACAAAATAATATTTTACATAGAAAAACATTCCAATTTTTTTGCTGAGTCCCTTGGAGAAGACGTTGCTGAGGGCCATGCTGTAGGTATTTCCAAGGAGTTTCTAAACTTTTTTTGCATACATAAATTATTTCGTTGTATACTTAAATTATCACGAAGTTTTAATTTGTACACTTACTGTTTAAATGTTTTTCGAAAATATTTTAGTTGTTGATTTTATTTTTTTTTTAAATCTGATTCATTGACACTAGTTCTAAATTTTTCTACTTACAAAGTTAATTATTATTAATATTGGGTGGGAGTTGTGATTGGGCTTAATTTATAAATTGACAAATCAGCGTGAAAAACTGTATCGATTAGAAGTTTTCGTAAACGTATCTTTATATTTGTTTAAATAAAAAGGGTTATCGACTAGAAAATTTATATTATATTTATATGTGCTTATACTCTTATGAAAGTTGGATACAATACCATTACCATCTTTTACCCTTATTTTTAGTTATTTAAATCAACAGATAATATAAATATGTTAACCTTTCTCAATATTTTACAAATAATTATGCTTAGTCTAAATTTGTAAGTATTTAATCAATATATAAATGTTCTACGATAAAACATGAATCTGTCTGTGCATGTGCGTATTCAATTAATATTGAACAATGGCGTATGTCGGACAACTGGATACAGTTGACGTACTAAAATGATGCGGTTCAGCCCTGAAACATAAAAAAAACACATTTGCGGTGAATATTAATTAAGGAACCTAATTGAAAATCGGCCGACCGGAGAACGACGATGACATTGCGGCGATTTTAAATGTTTAATGTTCAAAATTTAATGAAACATACATGAATAACAAACATTCAACAACAACAAAAAAAAAACATGCAAGCCTTCGCTGCGCAGTCAACCAATCTTCATTGTTTATCAATATTTCATTTGTTTATATGTACACGGAATTGACGCACGCACTCTTGCATAACAATCAAATAAACAACTAAAGGAGGAGTATCTCTCTGGCATATTGATCCAGTAAAAATGATTATTTTAATTCCTCTTGAGAATATTGAGCTTTATGGGCTAATTAGAATAATGCGTTCACTGGACGTGTATTGATTAATCGACATTTAATGCATTTCGCTGGAAAAACTCTTCTTGCATTTCATCCGTAATAGCTAGCTAGGTTGGCCACTTCCTCTTCTCCACCCGCATCCTATGCATGCTCCTTTTTTTATTATGATTATTATTTTTTAATATTATCTAATCTTATCTGCATATTCATTGGTCGGACGGTAATCATAAGTTCATTATCCTGTTTGCTTTCTCATTGCGAATTGCTCTTCTATTACAGGACATGGACTTGCGTGCAATCAGCGGCGACGTCCGGAAGAGCAGAAGGTTGTAGGATTGTGAGCGATTCGGTTCAGTTCGCGAAGATGAACGACTCGGCGGCGTTAATGCAGATGGACAGCTCGAACTCAACTCTGAATTACAACTATACCAACGACTCATTTTTCATCCCCGGTGAGACCCATTGTCTAATACCTCCAAGCAGGACATTGTTTACGAGCTTTTCCTTTGTTTTGCAGATAGTAACCAGTTCATACTGCCGGTATGGAGACAGGTTCTCTGGAGTACGCTCTTTGCTGGAATGGTGGTGGTGGCCACCGGAGGAAACCTGATAGTCATCTGGATAGTTCTGGCCCACAAGAGGATGCGCACAGTCACCAACTATTTTCTCTGTGAGTTTCATTTGTTTGATGGGGTTATAGTGAATGCAGGAGATCCGCCCAAGATCAATGCAAATCTACCTCATCCATTTTAAAGATACATTTCCGTGCGGTCAAGGTAAATTGACCGGGGCTAATAAATCTCTCACGCTCAGGACGTACGGTCCATTTAACGCTGTGTTCCGTGCGTTGTTAGGTGATAACTTCCTAGGTGTCAAGTCGGCAAAATTACTTTGTCTAATAATGTTGATAACGCATATAAAACGGATATTTAACTATGACATTAATAACATTTACATGATTAATTACAGATTTTATTTTATAGTTTTTAAATCTTAGTTAAATTATATAGTAATATTTATAGTTATAAAATATCACAATATAAAATATTGCATATTTTTGATGGATAGATGTAAATTTAAAAAATATATGCTAGAAATCTTGATAAATTTATAAAGTCTTCAATATTCACTCGACAATCTTTGAAAATCCTATCTTCACTTAAAGAAAAATGTAAAAGGAATGAAATAAATTATAACATATTACATATATTAACTTTAAATCAAATATTTCATAAATTTAAGCGGAAAGAAAATTATATTTATTATTATTGATAATTATAATCTTAATTTGCTTAAATCTACATTTCCCGTTTAAAGAAACTTCGAATAGTTCAATTCATTATGAATCGAAATATGAAATAATCTAATATATAGCAAAACTCTAATTGAGATTAAAATGATGGTCGTAAACATACATTATTGTCAATAATTGTCTTATACCAAGAATATTTAATTATTAACTTACATAATCTCAACAATATCAATTAATTATATTAAATACTATATTAACATCTAAATTTCATTTGAATAAAAAAAACACAAATAAATGCAAATCCACTTATGTTAAGATTTCTTTTATTTTCATTTATGTGGCAACAACTATAATGATAATTAGTCGTAATTATAATAAATTTAATAGATAGTATACTACCTAATACTAAAAGTACTTGGGTATTTTGATTGACAATTTGTCATAGAAATTATTATCACATCACTATTATCACTTATGACTATTCCTTAAAAATATGACAGCTGGCTTACTTTCCAAGACTAGTTAATTATGAATATTTATTTTCTTAAAATTAAACAATCGATACAAAAAAATATGAGTCCTTATACACGAATAACGAAGACGAAAATATTTTGAATTATGGTATCAAGGGTCGACTAATAGCCGAATGGTTAAGTTGCCCCACACACGTGCCTGTAGCCACAAATTCAAATCCCAGTCAAACCAGGCCCTTTGTCATCATAGATGGACAGTGAAATGAATGAGGTTCAGCATATGGACCTTCAGCCAAGTGGATGGACAATGACAGTGTTAAGGATAGCAGCAGATTCAAAGTCAAAGGAAATATTGAAATCGCGGAGCATCATTATACTACTGAAGTTAACCTACAAGACGACAGCTAACCTACAAATAAAAAATAAATCATCATAATGGTAACTATCCACCGGGAAAGATTACCTACCTAATGTCAACCGCGATCTTAAATGTTCAAATTGATGAATAAAATTACACGACATAAAAAAATATGGTATAATAGACATTTATTCCGAGTGATTTGGAAGACTGAATTTATTCTGATTATAAACATACACCAAACACATCAACAAAAATAAATTCAAATTCAAACGCACCAAAAAATACCAAGGATGTAATTATAAACAAAACTAGAAAAATCTGTTCACATATTTTAATAATTTGTAAGATATGTAAATTGGCAAATGTTGTTTAATATTCAATAAATTAATACCATTTTTTATGTAGAATTTTGGTACGAATACGAGTAGGTAAATATGAAGCGTCGGTACTTAAAGTATTACTAAATGAATAGTTAGATCCAGATTGATTATTATATTTAAATTATTATATTATCTCTAAGAAAACAACTGCAGTTCATAATTATCATTTCTATTTTCTATATACGTTATTATTTGGATGTTTATTGCAATAAGCATTTAAGTTATAAAATATTATTGCTATGCACTAATCAAAATCGAATATCAATAAATAGTACAAGAACATTATTGTTATGATTATCTGAGAAATACCAAGAAATAATAATTTAATGTTATATAATGAAGCTTAATAAATCCATCAAATTACTAAGTTTGCATACTATCCAATATTTGATAGAACAAATACAAAAAGATAAAGTTTATCGAACTAGTTTATAAACAAAACTTAAAGCACTCCAAAAGTTGAGACTTTACAAACTTCAGCTAGAATCTATATTATTAATTATATTTGTAACAAATATCGCATAGAGCAATAAAGCAATCAATAATTCCTTAGAATTTTATATTTTGTAAAAGATAAATATTATTATATTTGACTAAAGTAATATATTCGATTGCAAATTGTCAATTGATTAATACAAAAAAAATAGTCCGAATAATTAAAAGCGTTAGAAAGTATTAAAATGTATTATTTAATAGCGTTATGTTGCTGTAAATAACAGCGAAATGTATTCTTTTACAAATTTTATTTTCCTAAAAAAAACAGAGCAAAACAGAATCCGTCCCGTTTTCCCGAACAACTAGAGGACACTTAACTCGCTCAAAGTGGGAAAGTGTGTAATACTGTATATATATATGTGTATATGTATAAAAAAAAAGATTTTCTAGTTTGTTTTTCAACATGTTTTCCCCACAGTGAATCTGTCGGTGGCAGACACGATGGTTTCCACGCTAAATGTGACTTTCAACTACGTGTACATGCTGAACTCGCATTGGCCCTTCGGTAGGCTGTACTGCAAGATATCGCAATTCATCGCCATGCTCTCCATTTGCGCTTCCGTCTTCTCACTGATGGCCATCTCCATCGACAGGTAACAAATGCACATCCATTCTTGTAAACTTACTTTACGACAATCGACCGATACTTTTCCTCTATCGTGTATTGTGCACGACGGATGCGAAGTTCGACGGATTACAGGAAATAATGATTATGAATATTCAAATGCTGGTTATGAATAAATTTAAATAATATTTGATACATCTTTTCGGGGTGAGTTTTAAGGACGCCCCGGAGGATTCAATCCAAGTCTAAATTTAATATAACCAAATCAATATTGTTCGTCTTAAGGTACATGGCCATAATGACACCGTTGAGGCCAAGAATGGGCAGATCCGTTACGCTCTGTTTGGCTATGTCCACTTGGGTTCTGGGTATCGCCATCTCCAGTCCTTATCTCTTCGTATTCACTACGTTCACAGAGAAATACAAGAATGGAGAAGAACGTGTCATATGCTACGCTCAGTGGCCAGATGGTGCCACCAACGAATCTCTATATGAATACATGTAAGTACAATTAATTCTTATTAATCTAATCCATACTAATAAACATATGAAGTAAACCTGAATGTAAAGATTAGGATTTTCTAAAGAAACTAACTATTGAAACTAACTATCGAAGCAAATGCAATTTTGAAAAGTCAACAGGCAGAAATTAAAGAATGCTCCACTTTAGAAAAAAATGTTTTTGAATTATAGAATTTAAACATTAATAAACAATATTTTAGATCTACAAAGACTTCCGTCTCAATAAATAAATAATAGATCTAAATAACAAAAATACTTTTTTTTTGTAAACAAATTCATCATTTTTTCAATTTATTTACTATTTATGGAACAAAAATGGAAATAAAATATACTTCATAAAACTATAAAATTTATTATATTCCTATTTATTGATATTATTTACAAATTGTAATTGGTCCGAATTAGGTCTTTTACTTCTGTCTTATTTTACTAATTTTTGAAATTATCTTATTTCTTGCATTTCTTGTAAATTTCCTAAAATATATTTAAATATACAATTATATTTAACAAGTTAATTTAAATTGTAAAACCATTTGACATGCGATCCAACAAATTTGTTGTATTGTGAACAAATTGCAAAGAGTATATCACCAGTTCATCGCTTTAACACAATGTGATATATGTCACGATAGAATTTAGGTTGAGAAACGTTATTCTAAAAGATATTATTCAAATGCTAGTTAGTGTTGGTACACTTCAATTTTATAAAAATATTTATTATAAGTACTACGAAAAATAGAAAAATACTGATGATAACTAAGAGTATTTTACCAATTTTTCGCTTTGACGTAAGGTGGCAACTATTATTTGGTGAACCAATTTAAATTTAACCTAAACTTCTTAGATATCTTATTATTTTATATGACGTTACGTAAATATATTTAAGTGTGAATAATACAATATTATAAATTACAATCGGTAGTTAATATAAAATTGTATTAATAACTTAAACAATATAACAGTAATATTTGTTTTATTATTCAATTTCCTATTTCTACTTGCTCACTTGCAATTCAACTGCACTTAAATTTCGATTAACTTTACCGCCAAGTCATTTTGCACTTTTGCTTTGAAACCTATTATATTTTGTCCATTCATAGTATGTTGCCCAGTAAACTTAATATATTCAAAAGCGGAGTGGTCTAACCTATAACATTATGCTGATTTTCAGTATATGCATGAGTTACAATTTGCAGTAAAACTCTCCACTCCAGTTTTACGAAATTGCCATCGCCTACTTTTTGGAGAAAATGAATAATTTGAAAACTATTTCAGTTTATCTTCTAAATAACAAGTTTTATTTTTATTTGTTCATTCTTTTAATATTCCTCTTGTCCTATGAATTGCGCGATATATTATTAATTTTATAAATACATTTTATATACGCTTTTAATTAAAAATATGTTTTCTTATTTAACAAATGCAATTACTAAAGTATTTCAAGCACTAAGTTTAAGTTTAACATTTTGTAGATTTAAATAATAATTTAAAAATATTGCTAAATATAGTGGAAATAATTATTGATAAAATGTTAAAATTTATTAAAATACACATAATCAATCATCATAAAGGCACCTTATATCAGCAAAATTTCAACATTTGGAATTGCCAAAATCCTTCCCTGATCCCAAGAATTGTTTCAAATAAAAGTCGAATCCACGAAATGCATTAATTTCGGATTTGTAGTGAGAAATAGTATTTCAAGAAAGAATTTTAATAATTTATATATTTTCCATTTTGCCCAATGACCATCTGCCATCTTTATGCCAACTTCACTTTATTTTGAGTAAAAAATTTCCAACCATTCGTGCAATTTGTTAAACCATAAACTTTACATCTTTCCTTGTGATTCTCAGCAAATTAATTGCCAATCCACAATATATTTTAATAATTTTATAACAATCACGATAAAAAAAAACAAAAAATTAATAACCCTAATATTGTAATTAACATTACCTATTGTCATTAAGTGTGCGGAAAGGAATGAAATGCTGATTTATTTACATGATCCATGTTTTTAACACGAAGATAATAAAGCTACACTTTTCATTTTGCTTATTGTTTGAGCAATTTTCGCAAACAATCGGTCTTCGTCTATTATTCAGTAAATGAGGAATCCTTCTCTTTTGGGATTTACAAGCGTTGCATAAACAATAGTTTTGTTAAGTGAAAATGTTCAGTACTTCTCTTGGGTTTCCTAAATTACCTTTTAAAAACAAAATTCTTATTTTTTTTTGTTATTAACTTTTCGAGTATAGCGAAATTTGCGGTTTTGATAATGTGTTCTGGTTCGCTCATTGCAGATACAACGTATTTAATTTGTGGGTGACCTATGTAGTCCCAATTGGATCCATGACCTACACGTACGCCCGCATAGGAAAGGAACTTTGGGGCTCCCAGAGCATCGGCGAATGCACTCAGCGTCAGATGGACAACATTAAGAGCAAGCGAAGGGTAGGAAACAATCAATAATCATCATCATATATTCATTTTTTTCTCTTCATTTTTTTTGTGCCTTCGATATCGTATGACAATAAACCGCACCCACTGATAATACAAATGAGTTTTTCCGACATGTGCACTTTAATCGATTACAAAATCAATCCGGTAAAGCGTGCTCTAATTAAGTGAAATCGAAAACGTTCGTAAGTAACCGCACTGTGTGTATATACACAAACACGCACAAAAATATAGGAGAATGGTCGTCATCAATTATTTACATGACATTATGGCGCCACTGAAATTGTTAAAGTGTTTAGTTGGATCTCTGCGTTATTGACGTAATTAAGCTTGAATTGCTGGATGCAATGTGGATGCAATATTGCTTGCCAGATTGGAATCCGAGTAGTCGGTTAATATTTGCTTCTCAGTATTTGCTAAAATCATCACGGCTGCTGCTTCACATTTATTATTTATAAATTAACTCTTGAATGTTATTTGAACTATTCGGTAATTCGCTCGTCATTTTAATGGTTAATTAGCGGTTTCTTTCACACGAAACATTGCAAATTTAAACGCAATTATGCGAACCAAAGGGGAGCCAAACTTTGGCATCTGCTAAATTCCTTGCATAATCAATTTGAAACTTTCGAGTTGCTAATATTTTACTCGAAATTTCCATTAATTGTTTACATTGACGAAGATCTCGAGGTCATACAATCAATGAGAAGATATTGCAGAAACAATCCCGCACAAAATCAAATTATTTCAAACATTTCATCTTCATTTGTAGTGCAACTATAACTTTCCTAAATTATTTGTTATAATACTGTTATTTTTATAAAATAATAATATCTAATCTTATATTGTATAAATTAATAACAAAAAGTAAGTGCATATGAGAAATGCCGTCATTAAATGGGGTGGAAAGAGCAGTGATAAAGAGCGAAAGTGAATAGGTGTATAGAAAATGATTCTACCGAACTTAGTTTCGATGGATAATTAATCTTTGGTATTTTTTTTTGTATGTGAGTGTATCGCATGCTACTGATACTATCGTTAATTATATGGAATGATGGATGGATAGTTGATATACTTCAGAAATGTATTGATGACCGATCAGCCGTATCTCAAATGGATTTGCTTCAAATTACACGTAAAAATATATATATGCCTCGAATAGTGCGGGTAATCGGTTTCGCCGGACTAATCGAGGACTTTAAAATCACACAAAAAGCGAAAAAAACGATGTTTTTTGTATAATGTTAGATTTTATTTTCAAACCGTACTATAGTGAATCCTGACTGATCGAAGCCGCACTATGAGAGTTATTGCTATACAGATAAATATATGTATTTAAAATAAACAACAATAACAATATTATTCGAATATTATTTATTTACTCATTTTTATTAGCCTTAATCATTCCAAAAATAACCAAGACTCTGTCTTATTAAAATATATTGCCGAAATCACTTTACATGAAAATATACAAATATTTTTTTGTACTACTTGTAATATTTAAAATTTTACAAATTGAAAATGAAACATACTAATAATTATAATAGATTTATAATCTTCAATTATTAATATTGTTAATGTTTGTTCGGTAAGTAATTTCGTATTTTTAATTCAAATTTAAAGATAGAAATTTTGTATTAAAAATGAATCTTATTAACTATTTTTTTTATCTTTTATGCAATTTCAAAATAATATTCAGCCAGTACCACTCAGTTTTCTGAGCAAAAAAAACTCATTCATGTGCGTTTTGTAATACTCCTAAATTCATACAGGGAATTTTGCAGAAATGAAAACAATGATTGAAAATTATGGATTTTTCATTGGTCATTTTAAAAATTGAACATTTTCATTGCGTTCTAGCAATAAATCGCAGTTATTATTACATTTTGTTCACTCAAATCATGGAATAACCCAATATGGTACAATATGGTTATTTCTGGATTTTATCAACTACTTCGCTCAAGCCTTACGGCATTTTATCTATATAATGCTTAAATATTTGTTCTTAATTAATTAACACCGAAAATACTGTTTGTTTTGCTTCATATTGACAATGGAGACCAATTACATAATGTAATCTAAGATACACAGAAAAACATAAACTCATAGAGAAATATATGTTAAGAGATATTGTGTGAATAATGTTTCAAATATTTCTTGCTAACGCATTTACCTGTGAAATACGAAATAACTTTCCGTACAACCAAATAATATATTTAATGGTTGCTCATTTTTATTTATAATATATTTTACATAAGGATCAGTGCGCATTTAATTTATACCATATAAATGACGACCAATTTGTATTATAATAAAATTTAATTATATTGAGTAATTGAAATTTGCATGCAAAATATTTGTATTTTGATATTCAATTAATTATTAAATTAATCCAGATTTATATCTAGATTTTATCATTATTTTTTTTAAATTTTATTTAAACATTTTTATTGACCACAATTATGCCCAACAGAGGTCTTTCCGCCCAGATTTATTGAGTTTATTTTTAATCAATTTAACTAGTTTATTGTTAGGGAAGTTCAGATTTAACCAAAGCGTCGTGGTCAAGCAATGTCGTAATAGATATTATTAGAGTTCAGACTGGTGACGCTCTAACGAATAGAGAGCAAATGGGACGCTAAAGCAAGGGAATACTAAACTCTGTTATAATTCCTGCAAGCGTCTAAGTTAGCACGTTACAACTAACATTCCGGATATAAATCCAATTATTGTAAATGCACGTTTGTTTTTGAAATATAAAAATATCTGCTGCAAAGAGCTATTGGTCATATAACCAATTTACTATTACACATATTTTACATTTTTGTAACCGTAAATTGTTTTATATATAAAAACGGGGCGACTAATAGCCGAATGGTTAAGTCGCCAGTTCTAATCCTGCCAAGCCCTTTTGTGAGCCCTCTCGGTGCATCAATAGGGCCATCGTTAGTCACAGATGGACAGTAAAATGAATGAGGTTCAGCATATGGATCTTCAACCAAGTCGATGAACAATGACAGTGTCAAGGATAGCAGCAGATTCACAGTGAAAGGAAATAGTGGAATCGCAGAGCATCAATATACTACTGAAGTTAACCTACAAGCCAACTAAAAAATTAAAAATCTAAGCATCATAATGGTAAACTATCCACCGGGAAAGATTACCTACCTAATGTCAACCGCGATCTTAAATTTACTCAATGTTCACATTGATGAACAGATTGTAAATAAAATTACACGACATAAAAAAATATATATATATATATATAAAAACATTATTTATTTTAACATTTGTCTCTACATTAGAGCAAATTATCTGAACTGATTCCACATTTGAAAATCATTGCATTGTTTATTTTGTTGCAATTAATAGGCAAAAGCAATAAAATATTGTCGTTCATAGCAAAATACAGTTCTAAAATTTCCAGATTTTTACTCGTATAGTGAAACATATTCAAAAATACATATAATATGTGTATTTCAAAAATGATGTAGCAGGCACGCGATCCGGGACTTCTCTTCTCATCGTCACTCACTATGCGAAAAGTCGCTCGTTAAGCGAGTCATTTTTCTTACAATACATTTTGCTCGTTAAGCGAAATGCTCGTTATGCGAGGTGCTCGTTAAGCGAGTTTCCACTGTAAATAAATATTTAATATATGGAAAAAAAAATATTAAAAAAAAGCAAAAAAGATGTCAATATGGAGAATACAGAAAACCTTATCATATAAACTCTTGGGATGTGGTACCGTTATTCCTTACCTCTTCTTCCTGGTATTTCCCTGCTACACACAGTACAGGATTGCAGTGAGACGCCATAGTAGACGCTGAAGTGAACCCACAGGCCCACAGTATCATGAAAGAAAATAATTCTGAAACCTCTTACATCCTTTTAAATCTATTGTCTACTTGGTATATAAAATCAAAAATAAATTAAATTCATTGACAGGTCATTTTCACTATCAGTCGAAAAGTCATGACATAGTTCTGGGGATCGACATAAGTCAGATAATATAATCATATTCTTGACATCATCTGTTATTAGTTTATTATGAAAATATGCAATGTTTGTTGAAAATAATCGGTCAGTCTTACATCATCATCGAAATTTATTGTTTTTTTTTGTAGAGATCTTCATTACAATGATGATCACCATCATTAGAAATATTAGAAATATATCTTCAAATTATAAATTATGTTTATTATTATTATGTTACATAAAATAAAGAAATAATTTATTAAAAATTTCATTACTATTATGAACTATACAAATACTTGGAAATAAAACGTAATGTGTTAATACAACTCAGTATAGAAATACGTTTCTATAACTTTACAATTCGGATGAACTCAAATTAATTGAGCGCCCTCTAATGTTTTATTCCTCGCACTACGTGGCATTGTAGTTCCGTGCATTATTTAGATATGCGTGCGCATGCGCTTAACCACTAAACGTTAGAGTTAACTCAAGTTTACATTTTTAGTACCGACTCGCCGCAGAATATTTTTTTTAATGAAATTACTTGCACTACGTGTGAAGCCACTCCCCAGAGATATTGACTTTTTGGTTCTAATCAGTTCATACTTTATATTATTTGTGTTGTTAAATCGATGTAAGTGCAGTTAATGAGAGTGATTTATCACCAGATTAATTTTACTGATATTTAGTTTGAGAAATCGTCGTCTCCGACAAACAACATCGTCTTGGTAGATAACAGTTGCCCACCTCCGAGTGCTAGATACTTTTATTCGCAAAAATGTCAAAACGAAAACCTGAATTCATTAAAATTTTCATTTGGAATGCTATCGACTATCATACGAGAAATAATGAATTGAAGGTACTCATAGAAAAGCTACGCGCGGATGTGTTATTTATCACCGAACCATGCTTCGTTCCCAACATAAATAACTACGATCGAATATGGAAACCTGGAGGAGACACAGCGATATTCGTGAAAAGAAACATGGACCAACAAACAATTACGTTACCGCATTTTACTAATCTAGAAGCTACTGGTATAGCAATGCATTTTGCTGATGGCAGCACACTCCACTTATACTCTGTATACAATTCTCATAAAAAAACTCTACAAATCAAAGACCTGGAGAAACTCATGGACGTCAATAAATCAGTCGTTATAGCCGGGAATCTTAACTGCAAGCATCCGGCCTGGAATAGTAGAGTTTCCAACTCTAAAGGACGTAGGCTGCTGAAGTTTATGAATTATACAAATTCCCTGGTGATTGGACCTGCTTCACCAACTTACCATAATCCAGTTCTAGGACCAGACGTCGTTGATATTGCTATTTTAAAAGACGTGTCATTGGAGTATAGCATTGAAGTCGCCGACGAGCTCGATTCAGATCACATCCCAGTGATCCTGCGCATCGGATCAACAAAAAACGATTTACCACCTGAAATTTATGAGCTAATCAAAGAAAAAAGGAATGCAAAAAAGGTGTACCGGCGAACACTCTGCCCAGGTGACAAAATTATCCTAAGGAGACTAAGTCAACAACTCCGCGATGCTCTGAAGGAATACCGAGCTACTGATAGCAACAGCGACTTGTAGAACATTTATAACTTTGATATAAAACGAAACAAGAACGAATCTCGGAAACAATCACTCTTAAATAACCTTTCTTCATAACTTATATATATATATACTTTGATATCTTTTTGTAAATAACATTATTGTTTTATGTTCATCTCATATACCTTTCATTATCGTTACCTCGATTCCACTATTAATCTTCACTTGAAGTTCATATCTATATCAACTATTCTGCATATTTTCAAACACTTCAACGGTCAGTTTGGAGATTAAATGCAGGTACGCAGATCTCTGCCACTTCGAGAACATGCATTGATATAAAAAATAAGTTTTTTTTTTTAAATTATTTTATCTAATATTAATTGAGGACATTAAAGGTAGATTGAAAACAATGTATTATGTAGGAATATATTTTCATTGTAAATTAAATAAAGGACTATCTATATTTTTATATTTCACTTTTTTTTCTGCAGGTGGTTAAGATGATGATGGTCGTTGTGATCATATTCGCAGTTTGCTGGCTTCCGTTCCATTCCTACTTCATAGTTACATCCTATTTTCCGGATATCACGAACTCCCCGTACATTCAGGAATCATATCTGGCCATATACTGGTTGGCGATGAGTAATTCTATGTACAATCCAATCATTTACTGCTGGATGAATGCGAGGTAAAAATAAATGGATATTCGATCACAACGATACCGTTATCAATTGCATTTGCGCTGTCGATTTTTAGGTTTCGACGAGGCTTCAAGCAATTTTTCTCGTGTCTGCCGTACGTTAATGTGAGTCCAGGTGCGTTGACGAGGCGAGAGGTCTTCACCAGTAGACGCAGATCGTGTGTAGGATCCCCGGACCACAACCGCATCATCAGAAATGGTTTGTATTATTATTATATTCATATGTTAGCGGAAAAGTGTAATTAATGCATTCGTTCTATATAATATTCACATTTTTTAAAGTTTTCGGCATGATATAAAACAGCGTTTCTCAAACTTTCATCGCGCGACATATCATATTTCTTTGTAGTTGCAAAGCGACCCAATTGAATATAACGTGTTTTTAACTCGTTCACGGCAGCTGTCATTTGACGACCCATTAAAAAATTAAGTCATGGATTAAGTAAGATATAAAATACAATATCGTACTTAAAACCGTTATATTCCAAATAGTTTTGTGCATTAAAAACATTTTATAGTGATTTTATAGAATCCCAAATTAGATACTTTGCCGCTGATGGATGGTATATTTTACGATATGACAGTATTTGTAATAATTTAGATAGTATCTTATTGATTATTAATTTACAACTACTACATTTAAAAATATAATAACATCATTGTTATTGAATCAATAAATATGCTTTCTGGATTATTGGATAAAGTAGTAGTAGTTATAGCAGTACTAACATAATATGAAAGGAAAGATGAGATAAAGTAGGGAGGGCTGTGTGCGAGCGGTGTGGAGGATGTTAAAGTATGTCTGTACTATTTATTTAGGTACAGTAAGGACGTGGCATAATTTTCAAAGGAGTGAGGATACTCACTACACAAATATTCCAGATGAGATGTTGGTGGACCAGTCGAGGACCAGCAAACGCTTGAAGGACACCACCGACCTGCGTAGCTTCTCCTGACAGAAACAGTACCGCACCAAGGAGGAGGACAACGGAGTGCGGCAACAGCGGACATGGATATAGGGACACGCCTCGCGGACCACCAACCAAACTGGGTTCCGCGACGGACCCATACTAGAAACTAAGATGTAGCTATCTACCAAATACACCACACTACAGCATCGTCACCATGCTCACAATATCTATAATCGTAATACTGATTTGCAACGGAGAAAAAGAAACAGCGAATCAAAAAAATAGTTAACAAGTATTTAAATAGAAAAAAAGAGTATAAAGTGTCGACATTTTCGTTTACTTCTTACTACACGAAACTCGTTCTCTTTTATATAACAGGCAGCTCGGTTGATCTTATTTATTCGGAGGATATACTATGTCATGTGAAATATTAAATTGGTGCAGACTCATTAAGTGGGCAGATGTGGTGAGCCAAAGCTCGATTTCATGTTGCTCCACATACACGGTTTCCCTTTGCTGCAACTATCTTTGAAATCATTAGACACACTTGAAATTTTCCTAAGTTTCAAAACTCCAATAATTCGTAATTGCTTCGAATTTACTATTATTCTAATAAAACTAATTAAATATTATTATCGTTTTCGACTTACGATATAGTTGATAATAATTAAACTTAAAATTAAATGATTAAATATATAAAGTTTCTGCTTATTTTAATAATTTTATGTTTGTAATAAGATATATAACTCTTGCCTTAATTCAATGATACAAGCATTACATTTATATTATGTATATGGCAAAGTATTCAATATTATATTCACAAATTTATTAATAATATTAATTTCAACAATAAATTACCCGGAACAATTATTTTATTAATACTTTTTGCGCCAATTTAGCAGTTATATATACAAACACAATAAAGATAGTGTTAAAAGCTGTTCCGTTTTATAACTTTTGCGCATTGATACATGCAGATAGGCTGTCAAACTTACAGCCATGCTTTGAAATATACTATTTCTTAGATGTCATATTTTTCTGAATAACATTAGTTTTGTTTAACTATTAAACAATTTATTTTTAATTATCTACATCTTGCCTTGTATAGAAATTGTCGTAAGTCGAAGACTATCTGTTAAGATAATTCCGGTATAAAATAAGAATGCACTACTTCAATGTATTTTAAGTGTAATTACTAATTTTACATGTAAAGACTATTTGAAGAGATCAGAATGTTAAAAAGTTTCTTCTAACTAATATATATTAAATTGCATTGTCTTCCTTAATGTTTTTCATATACGTTCAACTACAGTGAACGAGATTAAGTAAATCATTCGATGAATATAATAATGGTGTCGTTTTAAATTTAAAAATAAAATCCTCTCGATATAAACTTTAAGAGCCCTGTGTATTAAAGAAAGAAACGAGATTTCGCAAATTGTTCGCCATTTGTGTATAAACAACCATAATCTCCAAGCCGACAGTTTATGAAATCTCCCCGGCATATACATATCTATAAGTCAAAGCAAATCTTAAATATTATAATAAAGAATCCACTGAAATTTTGCACACAAAAAAGTATACATGTAACTAAAACATAATATTAGAAGGATGTGGATGGATATACTAAGTATGTAAAGAGAAATAGATATAACTATATATTTAATTGTTTCCTCTTTTTTGTTTTTCGGAGTATTCCGAATGGGAAAACTGAAGCGCTTCGGAAGAGAGAGGAAAGTGGTAGAGAAGAAATCCATTAATATATCGTAGTTGTAATAAGAAAATGGCATCAAGATGCTACGACCAAACATGTGATACACAGAGACGATTTTAATAAAAAAAAAAAGATAGTTTATTTTTGAAACGTATCACCGGGTTAATCAAGTTTTGTACATAGCTTAACGACTTCTTTGAATGAGTTGCGTTCGTTGTTCTCCCACAATTATGTTATCTGGCCTGTACATATTTGTATAATATTCATTCTAGGTGTATGTATGTGTCCGTGTTTATCCAAGTGTCTACATCCATTAGATCTTAAGCTTGTAAATGTAAAACGCCAAATATGAAATAATCCAAAAAATAAAAAAATAATAATTTTCTTAATTAATATATTACATAGCTGGTGTGTGGTTGTTTCGAAACGAGTAAATAAAAGTATTATATTTTGGATGGAACCACACCAATAACAAAACTATATTTAATCTATTCTGTCCTTTAAAGTAGGCGATTTACATTCGTTTAATAATTAACTTTTAGCCAGAAAGACTTAGGTCAGATTCCCTTCGGCTGGTCCATACAAATATTATTTCAATTTAGTAGTATCATTTATCAAAGATAACTTTAATATTATAATTAATATAATTATATCAGATATGTGACGTGTTTTCAACCTATGAGAATTTACAGTTTATAACAAATGCATATTATAAATATTCACAATATATTTTCTTATATTTTTATTGGCCAATCACCAATACTTGTAAATATGTAACGAAGAACGTTCAGTCAAAAGTCCATAATTGTACATAAAATATAATGAATATAAAGCAAACACGTCATAGCTCTGACTTTTATCAATGCTAAATTAAGTATATTAACATTTGTTTAACATATGTTGATCATATTAATATTTACTTATAAATATATGTTCCAAGCGAGTATAATAAATATTTTATTTGTTTCAAGAGAAGTGTTTTATTTTAAGCTGAATGTACTTATTTCTTGGGATCAATCCCCATTTAAAAGCATTATTGGTTTAACAATTATCAAACTAAGTTTGTTTGAACAAAGATGAGATATGCGGAACGATGTATCCTTGTCTCCTAGTGCTTGGAAACTGCGAGTCCAGGAACTCCCATCTAGATGTGATTTGGGCGAAGACTCTATCCTTGCTTAATCCCATGGGTACGCCGAATAGGTCCAACCAATTTACCTTCCATTCACCCACCATCATCTTAAAATAAATTTGAAATTAATTAAAGCATATTGATCAATCTAACAACTAACTTACCTGATCGAATGGAGTATCTCCAATAAAGAACATTAAATGGAGCAGAGGTTGGTCTCTTCGGTTAACAACATTCGGGAGATTCGCTCCGTCCGTGTCTCCGCCTCTGAGCTTCATCAATAACCAATCGCTGTTATTTTTAACGAAATGTTGAATTACCTGTTAAACATATATCAAAATGAACCGATATATTAACCAATATCATGAAACTTGTATAGAAGATATTCCAGTACTAACATTTATTCTTTATCAATAATAACTGAAACTCATATCTAAAATTTATTACAAAATCATATCTTAGTGTCAGAAATATTTATATTTTCTGAAAATTTAATATCTTACAATTTTGAAGATTTTGATGGTAACAAATAAATCAAAATTTTTCTTAATCATTTTAGAATATTTTTTTACAGTAACATTCATTAAATTCTATTATTTGGTAACAATAAAACATTAACGTTATATCATATAGGTAAAATAAGTAAATACTAATGAATTTGACGATGTCAAATGATTTTTAAAGGATGAATCTAACACAATGTTGTCATTTTATTAATACAAGAATAATGTTACATTGCCGTGTTTTTTTATAATATGTTAACATATTATAAATTTCAAGTTTTTTGTTTAATATTTAATCACAGAAAAATGTATATATTACTTTTTTATTTTTATAATGTATGTGCATTAGTTCATAATTAATATCAATATATATTTTATATATCAAGCAACAATGAACAAAAACTTACCTTCAGACTTCTCTTTCCACAATCCGTCATTAAGATATCGCTGACCAGGATCTCGAGGATTTGCAAATTGTCCTCCACCCTTTTGCAACCCTTCGTATCGGGCTCGTACTCCATGCAATTTGTAGCCTCCTCCAAGAGCTCTTGTATCTCTTTCGTGTGCTTGTTGTCTTCGTCCACTCCACACAAAGCCTCCCCTAAGCCCATGGCTTGTTCCTCCTTCATCTTCAACAGCTCCGAATACAATGCGCTAATCAATAAATGCAATAAAACCGAATCCCCGAGTGGAGTCACAGAGGTCGGCAATAAATCCTGTAGCAGCTGAGTGATCCGTGTGAACGCTGGATGGAGGCACTGCCAGATTTGCACAAAGGATTGAAGCACGATGGAACAGGCTTGGTACATACTGGCGCCCGTCTCCATGGCCGACAACACAGTGCCAATTATCGGGGACAAGTGCGGCTGTATTAGATCGGTAATGGACAGATACCAAGCGGGCCGGATCTGATTCCATACCTGTCGCCGCTCGAAGCACTGAAACCAATTCTCTTGACCTGTTATCGCCTTCATTAACACCCTCTCAAAGTCGCCCAAGTTTCCGCAATAAAGTACTACGTGCGACAACGAGTAAATCAGGTCATAATAATGTGTTGCCGTCAAATAATTCGCAGTCGTGTCGACGTTCCGGCAGGTGCCGTCGCCCGAACACAGGAAACCATTGCATTTCTCCTTGCCGCTCTTGTCCGTTTGCAGATTCAAACTCGATTTTGAGTGTTCGGCAATCGAGCAGGTCAACAACAGCAAATAGATTTTACAGTTTTTCATTAAAAGGACTTTCAAGAGTTGCGCCCAATTGGGTTGCGGCTGTGATAATAGGACGGTAAGCTCCAAGATCAGTTCCGTCGCTTCCGGCAGTTCATCCCATTTGCTGTAATCCGGGAATAGACCGCGGGCTGCAAACACAAACCATGGACATGGTTCTCCGCTTCGTCTCGGTTTAAATATCGATACTTTATCCAGTCCCTTACTGAATACCTAGAAAATAATATAATGATATTTAAATAATAATTCACAAATGCAGTTCTTTATGTTGTTGACTTTTTAATAGTCAAAAGCGTTATTTATCACTATTACAAATATATTCACCATAATTTAAAAAATAACTTTATCTTTGGACTTGATGAAGCATCAAAGTTTAGTTATAATCGGATTATATCTGTAATAATAAACTAACATTCTACAGATTATTTATTCAATCTAGTTTGTATCTTAATTTAGGGATTGGTGACATGCATGTAGGAAACATTGAAATAGTAGTTTAATATATATATAATATATATATTTATTAATTTCATTTCATTTTTGGATTTGGATTGTGACATGGCGGTTGATTTTTTGAAACAAACATTTAGCTCAGTCGAGGCTCTTATTTCTTTTAAAATATTCTTTATTATTTGTTATTCTTTCATACATATTGTGAAGACCGATATGGGCTTAACTCTCTTCCGGTCTGCACAGAAATTTACAACAGCGGGTCCTCGAGGCTGCAGGCGTTCCTAAAAGAATTGGGGAAGACCTCCGACTTTTCCTCGAAGGGTGAGTGGCATCGGGCATGCTTGCATTGGGTATGTGTAATCAGGTTTGCATGAGGTGAGCGATTTGAATAAGGCCCAAAACTTGCCTCCGTCTCGGTAGTCGAGGGACGACGTGACCTCTCGTCAGCGGTGCTCTTTATATAGCGAGATCCTCCTGTGAACCAGTGCCGACATCCAGTTCCATTCGGTGCGAAGCTTGGTATCGTTGGTACGCTTCATAGTCCTGTATAGTTTGCGCTTCTCCTTTATTAGCCTCGGGATGTCAACGGGAAGCGTTGGTGACCTCTGCCAGATAGCTCTTGTTGGAACGTTGACGTTGATGGAGGACTCGATAACTTGTTGGAGCGAGTCGGCGGCGTCTTGAATCTCATGCTATTTGTGACGTTAGTTCTTTCAAGTTGGCGTTCTTCCAGTCCCGTAAGTGATGTTCACGAGCGGATCTGCGGGTAATGTGGCTCTCTCGACAAGCGGACTGCTGGGTACGCTGGATTTGGACGGCAAGTCCGCGTTTCTTCGGTCCTACAATGTCCGGCTGCTGGCATTCGAATGATGTTTTGTTTGTAGCCAGACTTCCAATTGGTCGAGGGCCACCACGAGGAGTCTATTGCCGTGCGTTGTGCTGGCATGCTGGACCAGGATGCAGTGCCGTCGGCAATGTAGATCGCGACGAAGAACGGAGAAATGTAAACCCCTGCGGCACCTCGGATCTGATGTTCCGGATCGTGGATCTAACATCTCTAAGCTTCACAGAGAAGGTTCTGTGCTTCGGGAAGATTTTGACAAGATGCTGCTGTTATGTCATACCATGTCGAACGTTTTGACCACGTAAAAGGAAAACTGCTCCGATGTGTCTTTCCCGTAATTCGGGAGACTGCAGCATGGTCATCAGCGAGCTTCAGAAGGCAATCCAGCCACCTATCGTTTCTGAGCGTGTCCAACTCCTTCACAACCTCGCCTGTGAAGTTGAGCGCTGGGGTGTAGGTAGGCAGTTTCAAAATTTACCGGATGACGTTTCTTTCGAAGCTGTCGATTCGCTGTACCCTTCAGCGAGTCGAAATGCGATTGAGCGGATGGTGGAGGGTAAGGAAGGGTCGGATGAAGGTTTTGTAGGTGTGGATTAGGGTTTTGGGAGAGCAGCCGCCTAGGGATATGCGGAGACGGATGATTAGATTGAGTCGATGTGGATGGTTGTAGGGAACGTGTGGGAGAGGTGGATGTCCAGGTATGATATGCAGCGTGTTTTAGCCACATTCTCATTCCAGGGCCTGATGGAGAGATGTGTGTGATGGAAAAGATGGCACTGTGGATGTCGGAAGCAGTACGCGGACGACACCGACATCGAGTCACTGCAGAAAGTCTCACGCCAACTGCTAGTGACGTGTATCGTGCTGGAATGGTTGTGTTATCAACAACCACTCTAACTTTAAATTTCGTAATTAGCCATATTCAATGTCTACGTTTCGTGGATGATAATCACATCCGCACACATCTCTTTTACAAAGTGTTGAAGTTCCAACTTCTTTCGAAGCTCCTTATAAAATTTGGGGCCATTCTGGACATCCACGATTGCATCTGCTCCTCGGCAAAAACTGCCAGTTTGTATTTCAGACGATGATCACCAGTAAAGGCGCAATTCATTTTCTTAGGCATTTTTCGGGTGATACTGAATACTGTTTGGATATTTCTACGAAAATGCTTCCTTTCATCGATTGGTATTTCCGAACGTTGTGGCTTCACCGTGACATAACGTTCTTAGAGTGTAGAGATAGTTTTCCACAATTACCATGACCAGTGGTACGTTCCATACTTTCATGAGCATAACATTGATCACGTCGATATTCTTGTTGTCTAGGTATTCGACATCGCTGCAGTTTATGTTATTTGTAAACGTCTTCTCGTCATCTAGAATGAAGGAGTAGTATCGCACTTTGTATAAAATAATATAAAATATATAACAGTTATCGCAATAATATGTATCCTCTTTGCCGTTGTATTTGCTGAAATTTCCTTCCTTCACTCCGATGGCTCTGCGCCTTCTTCTGTTACTGTGCATGTGGTTGCAGATGCTGAATCGTGAAGGTGGATTTTAAAATATTCAAACGATAATTTTGCTAAATTTCATTTTAAAAAGGAAATTGGAGACGACTGTTACTAGAAAGAGTCTTTATGTTGGTCTTCTTCAAATTGTTATGAGCAATACTTTTAGTCTCAAAATATAATCCGTATCCCAATTATTTCAAGCATACATGTAAAAAATGTCTATATCTATTTATATATTAATTCTGCACAGATAACATGATATATATTCTTCTCAATAATCAATATGGAAAAACATTTTAATTACTGAGAATTATGAGTTTCAATCATGTTGGAACTCTATATTTACTATATAGTTTTAGATAATAAACATTGTAGCATTTGTTGTAGATCAGAATTACTGTAAACTTAAATTTAATTGCAACTATAAAAGTATATAAGAATTACATTTAATTACTATTTAGTTACAGCACGAGCGTAATATATTAGTTTATAACCTTTTGTTCCATTGTGTTGTATATAATTTATATTATTATTACCTTGTATAAAGATTCTAAAGGTGATCCTCTCAAGATTAGGCAAGTCAATAGTTCCTGGCACTTGGAGTGGACGTCTCGCAAAATTTTTGACTGCGAATTCAAATGCATCCCCATAAGTTCTTCGCGACTGTTGCATATGGATGGCAATAATTTGTAAACGCACAGCAACAAATTCGAAATATCGGTGGTGTGAAGAGGAGTTCTATACTCAGATGGTCTGGCTTGAGAATAACGAACTGTCAAAATCGTCAAAGACTCGTTAAGCATTCCTGAAAACACCCTCTGCGCCATCTTCGGTGGGACAGTATTCCATAGATCCTCCTTAGTACCTAAAAAAGTTTCTTGCTAATATATTGTATTGTCTTATTATATTTTTAAGTACCTTGCATGTACAACCACCACATTTGCACAACATACGAGCCTCTTTCGTTCTCGCAAAACGCCTTCTGATTCTCCCAATCCAAAGAATCAGAATCTTGCAATATATAGAGCGATAGTAATCTGCAATGAAGATCAAGCAATCTTTCCGCCAGAGCTTCACCCATATCCTGGTACTTCTTCTGGCATTTAAGCAGTTTGTCACCATCTTCTAGTTTAGGATTCTCGGTGTTCTGTGCGTAACACCATAGGCAATTCTTTAGTAAAGCGGCCGCTCCAATAGTCCCAGTTAATACTGTCAAATCCGCATGATCCAAAGCTTCTTGAGTGAGTACATGCAAATGTCCCAGCAGTTCGTCCGAAGATTTAGTGATCAAAGTTATAAACTTCGATGGATCCGAAGCTTTCACGATACCTCCGCATCCACCGGTCGTCGTTAAGCTGCTCTCCGTCTTACCAACTTCTCCTTGCATGAAACCAGATCCTCTCCTATAAGCGGCCAAGAATTCCTCCTCCCACCATAATACCAACTTCACTGCAGCGAAAGACGCCGATCGAGGAAAATCCAAGCGACCTCCAACTATACCAGGACATATAATTTCTTGCAAAACAGTTTGCTTTTTCTAAAAGAACGCAATAAATCAACTAAATGTATTTGAAAAAGAACCAAATATTCTTACATTGTAATATTCCATGTCTCTTTGTATAAGAATCAGGACTTTGTCCATCAAATTCCCATCTTCCATCAGTTCCATGATTGCAGGAAATAAACACGCTTTTCTTTAAGTTTGCAGCAGTTTTAATATATAATAATCAACAATTTATAGTTTACTGTAAGTACAAATGGAAAAATCAACACCATTTGCAAACACCTTGCTCATTTCCATTTGTAATAATTGATGTAAAGTTTCCCCTGAATGCTTGTAAACCCAGTAATCATCTTCAGCTATCAAATCGAATCTCTTTGGTCCAGACACTGGCGAACTCAACCAAATCTGTTTGTTTGGCGACTGTCTATTGATCACATAAATACCATGTTCCCTGCCAAGATTAACAGTTAAAACTCCACTCTAAAAATAATAAATTGTAAATATTTAATTTATAAAACATCAATGTTTACTTACACTATATGAAACATCAGCATCATTCAAATTGGATTGCTCGACTATTTCCTCGAAGTAGTCAGTTAATGATTCCAGGGTCTCTTCACATGCTTTTTCAAAGGTATTTGGATCCACTTCCACAGTAACACAGTAGAATCTAGTATCTGTGATCGAATTTATTTTGGGTGACTTTGGTATAAACAAAACTTCAGTTGCCATGGGTGATGATGAAATTGATGAAACTTTATTGATCCCCGAGAAATGTCTCCTTCCTGAACATAATCCATAGTTATTTCTTACAAATTTGTTATATTGACGACCCAACAAGATATTTCTGAGTAAGTGCATTGTTGCAGGTTTTGTTAGAAAATTGCTTTTAAATAACTACGACATCGATTTTATGGTTATGTGTTTCGTGACAGTTCGGTGTTGTTCGTTGAAAGTAGTGCAAAAAGCCGCCAGAAGCCGCTACTTCATGTATTTGCACATAATTTAAAAATTTTGCCAATTGCCTTTATCGTCGTTAATTATATATTGTGATCCATTATGCGCATCATCATAAAATAATATTTATTGTAACGGTCGAACATAATTAATACAAAAAAAATACATATAAATCAAATCATAGTAAAACAAAATAGTAATAAACCGTTACAAAGGGCTACTAACCATAGGTCTTTCGTCCAATAAAAAATATTAATTTAGAATTTGATTGATTTTAAATAAGTTTATATTCAAAATTATTAATATTAAATTGTCAAGAGCGGAAAACTGGTCCATAGCCATTAGTTTATAAGTGCATATATACAATCAATATGTATATATATATATATTTTGTAATATGTAAACTGCATTCGGTAATGTTTTCATCTATTCGAGACATTCTTGAGTTTAGCTTGATGCGTTATTTTCACAGTCAGCTCGCGCTGTCGACCAGACTCCTTTAACATTGTGATGGCAACGACATAGTTGATGTATCTTTATCGGTTGTAAGTGATATATTTGTATATATGGAAGTAACTGATTTCTTTCAAGTTTGTATAGGAGCCCATAGCAATGCAGGAAATAGTTGTGTGAACAATTATCTCCTTGGCAAACTATTTTTTTGCAAATTTACTTTACTACTAATTGGCCTCTTGGAATGGCAAGCATTTCCGCCTTCTGCAGAGTCATTACATTACAGCGGAATCATGAAAATTTCCGTGAACCGATGCATTACTCCGGGATGTATGGGGACTAAACATGAACGAGTCTCTGTAGTCCAAATGTTTCTCATAGTACACTATTGGTATTCAGAGTGTAGTCTTATATCTTGACTATGCTGCAGGGATTCTTCTTCTCCTTGATCAATAAGACGATAACCTGAATATCTAGAGTACAATTGTTATTGGGATGTTATGTTCAACGTCGAGTGTGCATATTTTCCATAATTTCTTCATGACATCGCATGGTGGAATATGGTAGAATTTCTTTTTTAACGAATGGAGGTGTTCGTTTTGATCGTTGTAAGAGGCTTGGTGGATACAAGCCGAATGCCAACAAATTTAGTGTGTTGAAAATCCAGATAATGATCATCACACTTTGTATATAGTTATAGAAAAACTGTTTATGAGCTACTTCAAGTTCCTCCTGGTTGTTTCTACTTCTATTAGTTAGTCAAGTAATCAGGGACGTGTTATCCATTAGGCACAGGTTTTTAGGAAACTATAGAAATAGTTGAATTATAATTTACCATCTAATTTTTATCCCAGAAAAACATTTAAATCAGACCCGTCAAATCAAGATTTTTCTTCAATAGAAAATGTGTTGTGAAAATTTCAAAAGATCATTAATACAATTACAATGGAAACAAACATTATTTCTTAGTATGATCAAATTTTATTTTAGAAATATTAAAATATTTGAACATTAAATTGAGATATATCATTTTGTCACATAAAAACTAGAAAAAATGTACAAATATTTTAATAAATAAAACACTGATAAGATTTTGTTGACAAGTTGCAAATTTTAAAATATGGAATAACCGAAAGTGTATACGTTATTTCTTTTAAATAACTTTTATTGTAAGTTACAAAATTCTCGAATTTACTCTGTATTCGAATATAATTTATAATATTATTTTTTAGTTTCAATGTACAATAAGTATACATAAAACAAAATTAAAAAATCATTATAATTTAGGTGACGCGGTAAATTTATTATAGGTTCAAATGCTACAGTGATATTAAAAGTTGAAAAACACTGCTTTAAAGGAATTTTGTTATAAATAGAAGTTTTTATATATTTTTAATTAGAGAACACAGCAGATGTAATTTATTTTGAGAGAGTATTGTCATAAAGTTCTTTACAGAAAATGACTTTATGGATTAATATCGAAAAAAAAAAGAAATGACATTTACCGTTTGAATGAAGTTTTGCAGTTTTCGAATGAAGCCGATTGCGTTTAAGCCAGTAACGAAATTATATTCCAATGGGAATTGATAGGTGATGATTGGTTTAAAAACCGTCGACCACTTTCGACCGACATTTATATTTTTCTGTCTGTTAAGTGGATGGACTAGTAAAATGGGAATATTTCAGGGGTCGACGATTGTGCTAATTATTCACGGGTTTTGCAGGGGTTGCATCGCAGACACACGCATACGCACACACATATTAGGTATTCGAATTTTGTGGAGCGAACCGCTTCGGATACAGTTCAGTTGTCAAAGCGAGTTTTGGTCTCCCCCCAAAAGGATTTCGGACCCCCTAATGTGAGTTGTTTTTTTTCTCTCTATTTAACGTTCAGAAAGGCTTCAGTGTGCGGAAAAGGCCAGGGTCTTAATTATTCTCGAAGTTGTTCAAATGCACGCATTGTTTCCGTGGGGAATATTTAAAAATGTAACGCGCCCATTAAGTAATTTCTATTCGGATGGAGTAATCAAGTTTCATCCGGGACACGAAACCTTAGCCCCGTCCTTCGTTATCTCCCTTTATCCCTCCCGTGCATTGAGTTTTGCCTCTCTTTCCTCATCAACAATTTAATCCCGGTTTAATTGAAAATTGAAGCCTCGAAATAAGAAGCGATCGTATATTTTTTTTATTCAGTATATATATATTTTTTAATTCCGTCCCTAAAGTTTTGGGTTTCGGTTCCATTGGTGAGTTTAGTGAAGTGTTATATGGTAGTAGGTATATAGTGTGTGTATGTATACATAGTGGCTATTGATGAGGGTCGAAGGGGGCTCGGATTCTATATATAAATTTTGTAACTCAAACACGAATCAATGTGCACTTGAGCAATCAAAGTTTGATTATAATTATAAGCGGATCAGTGGAGCAGCAGTTATTAAAAATGATACCGCTTGCTCTTCTCTCCTTTGCTTATTCACCCACTATCACTATATAGAGGACGATATCTATATATGCATATACACATGCATATATATTTATATATATACTACTACCGGCCAATAATGTTGATTATATCCGTTACAGTGAAAGTACATAATAGTATAGAATGAACATATTATTTTTCATCAACAAAGATATTAAATTTGACAAAATTGTCTATCGTCAATAAATCATTCAGTGTTTTGTCTCACATGTGAATACACAAACTTCAATAATTCAATATTACTTTTTTGGTACACTTAAATTATGATAATGCTTCAAATTTGACTACAACCATTACTATTTTTTCTTCAATAATTTAATTAAAGAAAATTATTACTATGATATATATTCATACCAATTTTATAATATTTTAAGATTTTTTATTATGTCATTAAGTAAAGCTAATAGCGATAGACATTTGTTTTTGGTAAAATTTTTATTTTTTTAATTGTTGGTTGGCTGTCGTCTTGTGAGTTGTATATTGATGCTCTGAAATTCCACTATTCCCTTTATCTGTGTATCTGCTGCTATTCTTAACACGGTGATTGTCCATCGACTTGGCCGAAAGTCTATTACTAAACCTCATTTATGTGACTGTATATTAATGATGAACGATGGCCCTATTACTGCAAATACCGAGGGAGCTTATAAAGGTCTTGTTATATTATACCATTCGGCCTCGTATTATAAGATATAATTTATATATAAAAAATACAATTAGTACAAGCAATTATATCTTATATGAGAATTTTCTCTTAACTGATTATAGCAAAAAAAAACATATAAATTAAAGTAAGGGACCATAAAGATTTTCGAATTTGGACAACCTAAACATATTTTTTTTTTTCATATAAAGGAATATTTCGAAAATAAATAACATAATATTATTTAAAAATAAATTAATTCACATTGACAATCAATTAGACCACTTTCATCTGATTCTTCTAAATGAATATGTTCAATTTAATTTAAAATGATAAAAGCATTATTTATGTGGAGTATGTTTGAAAAAATATCTCCGTGAGGAGAAAATGTGGTTTGTGTACACAATGTCATAACTTTATTTACGTGAGTTGAGTTTTTACTTTCAACAATTCTTTTGATATGTACAACTTTAGTTTTGAATTGAAAATAAGACTTTTTTTCTATAGATGTCATTTAAGAATTATTCCTATGCGGACGGAGACATTTCAAGTCAATTAATAAATTTATAGGAAAACCAAACTTCATTAACATAAGATACAAAACTTAATTGTAGTTACAGATTTCTGCAAATTGTTTAAAATATTTAAAGTACAACTAATACCTGGATTAGTTTAGACTAACTAAAACAAATTTATTGTTGTACAGAAAAACAAATCATAGTTCATAGAATTTTCAAAATTTGCATAACTTAAGGCAGAAAGTTAATTAAAAAAATAACGTTTTATGATTTGACTAAACACAGCTTCTAGATTATTTCTAAGTTAGCGATTAATTGCTGCTTTATAACTACTTAGGTTTTATATTAAATATTTCCGATACAGATCAACCCATATGTACAAAATTTTACATATTTTTTTGTAATTATATTATATTTTTTAATGTAATTGTAATTTAATATTTATACAATAATTTCAACATATGTATCATTATAAACGTAATTGTTTTTATAATCATTTATAAGCTAGTAAAGTTTCATGTTGATTACGTTACGAACTTAAATGAGTAAATATTTGTTAAACTTCAAAATAAACTGTACGAAAGTGATTGAAGTAGATTTATTTGAGATGCTACTTACTATATTCGGTATGTTTGCTTTTCATACTTCAGTGAAAATATATATACAATCACCTTTCTCGCGCGATATGGATTTAAGATGATATAAATGAAATTATAGTTTAAAAGGTATTTAAATATAACATTTTAAATTATTTTTTCTGTAGTATTATTGTATTAAGTTGATGAGATGGTAATGCTAAAAAGAAATATTACAAAAATACAATTACAATTTATTTCATATTTTTCCAGCATCATATTTTTTATTGACTAATAAAATTATACGTAACAATA